CACACACACACACACTCACTCACTCACTCACTCACTCACTCACACACACACTCTCACACACACACCCACACACACTCACACACAGATTAAACACAGAATGTGTTTGTGAATCCTGACCTTTAACACTTTGTGTGCGCAGCTGCCGGTCAGCGTGTATGAATCTGTGATTGACATAATCAGCGGAGAGGTGAGTGTGTGTGTGTGTGTGAGTCTCAGTTGTGTGTGTGTGTGTGTGTGTGTGTGAATCTTAGGTGTGTGTGTGTGTGTGTGTGTGAGTCTCAGGTGTGTGTGTGTGTGTGTGTCTGTGTATAGTGTGTCTGTGTGAGAATGTTTGTGTGTGTCTGTGTCTGTGTGTGTGTGTGTGAGTCTCAGGTGTGTGTGTGTGTGTCTGTGTATAGTGTGTCTGTGTGAGAATGTTTGTGTGTGTCTGTGTCTGTGTGTGTGTGTGTGAGTCTCTGTGAGCGTGTGAGTCTTAGGTGTGTGTGTGTGTGTGTTAGGTGTGTTTGTGTGTGAGAGTCTCAGGTGTGTGTGTGAGTCTCTGTGAGCGTGTGAGTCTTGTGTGTGTGTGTGTGTGTGTGTGTGTGTGAGTGTTAGGTGTGTTTGTGTGTGCGTGTCATGGGTGTGTGTGTGTGTGTGTGTGTGAGTCTCTGTGAGCGTGTGAGTCTTAGGTGTGTGTGTGTGAGTGTTAGGTGCGTTTGTGTGTGAGAGTCTCAGGTGTGTGTGTGAGTCTCAGGTTCAGTATTGTTGTATGACTATGAATATTGATATATTAGTAATAATCATTATAATATATGGTCAGCAGGACAGGAGACATGCAACAGATGATATAGAATAATCTCAGGTCATCCAAAATTTGTGAAGTTCGTTGCTTGACAATTTTTAATTTTCATGAAGTTCACAACGCAGGTTCGGGAGGAGCCTAATCAGCCAGTCCTGCCAATCATCGTTTCGACCGTATATAAACAGCAGTCATTGTTCCGTCCAAGCGACTATTCTTCCGGCATAGTGGCCCCGCCCTGACGAGCTTCAGCTGTTCACCTCCGACGAGTAACTTTCCCGTCCTTCGGTTTCGCCTTCCGCCACCCAGCCGAACCCAGCTTCCTCCAATTCCGGTTCTCGTACCGGCCACACCAGCAAGGAACGAGGTCGTCCTACTCGGCGCCCTCCTCCAAATTTGCCAAGACGCCGCCACACACCACGGTCATCCCCGCCTCCGGCCAGGCAGCCACAGACCCCAGGCGTCTCAACTTCTCCGCGCCTTCCAGCCCAGCCGACTCCACCAGGACCATCGTCAACTCCCGACATAACAAAATGGACAGTTAACGGATTGCGGCACGCTCTTGCCTCCGCAAACATTCATTTTTCCCGTAGGCAAACCAAAGTACAGTTGTACGCTCTTTACACGAAGTCACTATCTGGAGAGAATCCACCAACTGTACCTCCCGCCCGCCCTCAAAAAGCTTCCAGTCGACCGTCTAAAAGAGCTAGGCTAGCCTCGTTTAACACGGAGGCCGAGACAGCCCCGGGCTCTACCAGCGTTTCCTCCCCGGCCGCAGCACCTGCACTTGCTCCTGCGCCCACCTCTGCAGCTGTAATCCCCGCCCCCAACCCAATAGCGCAGGTCTTAAGCCCTTTGTTTTCACAGGCCAATTTAGCCCCTCAAACACGCTCCCAAGCTCCCACCTTCGCCCTTGCCCACACCATTGATCCTCCTGTCCAAGCCCACCTTTTACCCACCTCAGATTTGCTCAGCCTCGCCCATTCCTCACAAAATCCCGCTCCCATCCTTCCTCCTCCTACTTCTTTTCCAACTATCTCCGGAGTGCCCCCCAGCGTGAGGCTGCCTCCGCAATCGTGTCCCGCTCCGGTCTCTTGTCTGCATCCCCCCTATATTTCCTCATCTACTTCTTTCTTTCCTTCTACGAGCACAGAACCCAGCGTGAGGCTGCCTCCGCAAACGGTGCCTGCCTCGTCTTTTCCCTGTCAGCCTTCCTCCCTCTAACGTTACTCCAGCCCGTCCTCCGTCCTATACTCTCTACACGACCGTTCCAACAGCAACTCCTGCTCACGCCATTGCCATGGAGCCCCCATCCGTGTCCATTCCGCTCCGCACCCAAATCCTCTCAGGTATGGACGTGGACTTAGCATCTCTTCTATCTCCCATCCCACAAAAAGATTGCTATCGATCCCTGGACTATGGCATTTTTTCCGTGACCCTTAAAGATTCAGCCTCTAGCTCCAATCGCATTCTTTCACTCGCAGAATTCGTTCTAGCATTTGGAAAATATACAGATGTAATCTGTTCAGTTTTTCCAAACCGGCGTAAGGAGCTAAATGATTATCTCTCTATTATCGCTGACTTTTCTCTGTCATTCGGCGGCAGCCACTTTTACACTTATCACAAGCTATTTTCAGCTAAATGTGCGACAAGGGTCCCTCGACTTCGATTTGTATAATCGTGTTTTCCTCGGCTGCCGTAACATCTCCTGTTCTATTTGTAGGTCTCTCGTTCATCAGTCCCACTCCTGCCCACTAATCACTCAGTTCTCCGAACCTTCAGTCTCCGCCTACCTCCGAATCTATCAAATCTACATCATATGTGCCACAGTCCGGGTCAGATCGCTCTGCCCCTGTTAAAGGTCGTTATTCTTCCATTCCAAGTCGCCAAGTTTGCAATAACTTCAACGATTTCTGCTGTTTCAGGCAAAAATGTTGTTTTTTACATGTGTGTAATTCCTGTGCCGGTGCTCACGCCCGCCCCGTCTGCCCCGTGTACAAATCTTCAGCAAAAAACAATAAAGATCTAGAAAAATACCTCTCTTCTCCTGTGAATGTCTCAATGTTATCTCTCGAACTAAAAAATCACCCTGACAAAAATTTTACCCACTATTTGCTTTCGGCCTAAAACAAGGTTTTGATCCCGGTCTTGAAAGTCTTCCAGATGCCACTTTTGTCTGTAATAACTTACAATCCGCACTGTCAGAACCAGATATCGTAGATTCCCTCCTCGCAAAAGAGGTGGATTCTAATTTTATGATCGGCCCATTCGATTCCCCCCCCGTTCGACGTACATCGCATAAACCCTATCGGTATAGCCACCAGAAAATTCTCGGGAAAGAAGCGCATCATTATCGATCTCTAATCAGTCTAGTCCCCCTCTCAGAATTCTCTTTACGCTATCACGATGGCGACCAAGCAATTAAACTAATCAAATCCGCCAGCCGCGGCGCATGGTTAGCAAAAATCGACATCACGTCAGCCTTCAAAGTCATGCCATTAAACCCCGATTTCTGGCATCTCTTCGGAGTACACTGGCGTAACAAATACTATTTCGCCGTCCGCCTGACTTTCGGTTGTAAAAGCAGCCCGAAAATTTTCGACATGCTTTCCGAAGCCCTGTGCTGGATCCTTGCTAACAATTACAACATCCCCTACCTAATTCCTCTGCTAGATGATTTCCTCATCGTGTCACCCAGACATTCTCCTCCGGCCGCCCACCTCAGCACAGTTCAAAGAGTTTTCTCCGAACTAGGCATTCCAATTGCATCCGAGAAAACTGAGGGACCAGCCACCTCCCTCGAGTTCCTCGGAATTCGCCTCGATTCAGTCAAATTCCAAGCCTCGCTCCCTAAAGAGAAAATCGACAGAATTTCCAACGTAATTAATAACCATACTTCGGCCACAAGAATTTCCAAATGCGACCTTCTTTCCCTGCTAGGCCGCCTAAATTTCGCTATGAGAATCGTGCCCCAAGGCCGCCCTTTTATCGCCCACCTTCTCTCTCTAGCATCCTCTGTCCCCGGCTTAAACGATTTAGTCCCCCTGAATGAATCGTGTAGAGCCGATCTCAATCTCTGGCTTTTGTTCCTTAATCGATGGAACGGCCTCAGCTTTTTCTACAACGCCCACGTCGCGCTAGCCACCGACATGCACCTGTTCACAGACGCAGCCCCCTCAGTTGGATTCGGGGGGTATTTCCAAGGTCGCTGGTTCGCTTCAACATGGCCTCCCGAACTCCTAAATTTGAAACCGTCCTTCTCCTCCGCTCTATTCGAGCTCTACCCAATCGTCGTCGCCGCAACATTATGGGGGAAAGAATGGGCCTCTAAAAGCATCCTCTTCCATTGTGACAACTCCGCAGCAGTCCACTGCATAAATAAAGGCACATCCAGTTCCACGTAAATGCCTTTTCTAAGACGTTTGATCTGGACGTCTGCCTGCAACCAGTTCATAATTAAAGCAATCCATATACCAGGTTGTAAAAACTCAATTGCTGACTCTCTTTCCCGTATTGCCTTTCAGAAATTCAGATCATTAGCTCCTCAGGCAGACCAGTCACCCACACCAGTGCCTCCTTATTCGGACCTGACGTTCCAGTAAACCACCCTCTCCTCCATCTTCACGACTTATCCACCCATCTCATCCTCCAAGCCGTTTCTCCAAGAACACTCAGCTCATACTGGACGGCTTGGAACTCTTTCAAAACCTTCCATTCTCACCACAAGCTTCAATTTCCTGACTTCTCTCTCACAACTGTTTCTTCTTTTGCAACTTTTCTCCACCACTTCAAACAGATCCAACCCGGCTCCATAAAAACATATCTTAGCGGTATCCACTTTTTCCATAAACTAATTTTCGGCCGCCAGTGCCCCGCCATCAACAACCCTCAACTCTCCCTGCTTTTAAAAGGTATTGAAAAATCCCAACCCCGCCATCTAGATTCTCGCTTGCCCATCACCTGTGAAATATTACGCAATTGCTTACTCACCCTTCGTTCAGGTTACCACTCCGAAAACACAGCCAGATTACTCGATGCCCTTTTCATCCTTGCTTTCTTCGGTTTCCTCAGATGCTCCGAATTCACCTGCAATTCCAAATTCAATCCCAGGATCCATCCGGCCTTCTCCGACCTCCAAATACTGGACAACGACACAATTCGCTTTAACATCAAATGTAGCAAAACAGATAAATTAATGCACGGCCATCCAATTTTCATTTTTAATTTACCCACCCCCCTCCAGCCTTACCAATCCGTTGCCCTCTTCTTGGCTCACAGACGTTCTCAAATTCAGTCTCCCACCGATCCTCTTTTCGTAGACGACAATAATAGCCCCATCTCCAGACATTGGTTTCAAAAACACCTCAAATCAGTCCTGACTAAATCAGGCATTTCAGCAAACCATTACTCCAGCCATTCCTTTCTCATAGGTGCCGCAAATTCAGTAACTTCAGCCGCCCAAAACGGTCTCCCCGAAATCCAAATAAAGAGCTTAGGCCGGTGGTCTTCGAACGCCTTCCATTCTTACATCAGATCAAACCTTTTCCAAATCAGACAAGCACACCAATCTCTCATTCAATAATCCAGCCACCACGCACCTGTCTTTCATTAATCAACAAATTACTTTTGTTTTGCAGAAATAGCAGGGATTCCCCTTTCCCGGCCCTTCACCTAGCCCAATGTCTCAAAGCAGGGAATTCCCTGTCTCACAATCATAAATCCCTCAGTCATACGGCCAGGACCAACCTCCCGCTTGGGGTGGAGACGGGTAGGGTTAGGTATATGTAAGGTGGGAGGAGTTGGATCTGGATCTTGTGTTCTGCAGTGAGGACCATCTCGCCGCAGCAGAGACTTTCTCTCCCGCAAAATTTTAACCACTTCACTGCCACAGCAGTGAGTTTTTTTTGTTTCTTTTCTGAATTTATTAAATCTTTCCACTGTCGCAGCAGTGGCTTTCCTACCCTAATATCTAACAGCTCATCGCCGCAGCAGTGAGTCGTCCTTCAAACCCAGCAACATTCCTTCATCACTACTGCATTAGTGACAAATCCTCATTAGCTTTTACCCATCAGCAGCGATCTCTTTCTTTTGTTAAGCTTTCCTCTTCGCCATAGCAGAGTTTTCCCCATCGCTCCCGCAGGAGCGTTTTTTCTCCTTGATGCGTTAAATAAGTCTTTTGGGGGGGGGGTAAAACCAAATTTTTTATTTCTCCAGTTGGCGACGAGCTTGCTGTCCTTTATAAGCTTTTTTTGGGGGGTTTCTTACTCGGAGCTCAAGCCGAGCCTCGGGTTTCGAGCCTCCTTCACGGACCGCAAGCCAAGTTTGTTTTACCATTGCCTGGCAGGGCTGAATGTGCGGGCGAACTGGTGAACTGTTGCTTTGAGTGATCAGCTGTGTGTGATGTAATGAGGAAACAATCTTCCTATAAACTCACCTGAAAAGTTGAGCTCGGAGTTAGAGCTGGGCGATAAAACGGTATCGATATTTATCAATGGTACACCATCATCGATAACGATAGAAAAAATGTTCGATATATCGCTCGATTAGTTTCACGCTTTTTCCATTTAAAGTTATGAGTGACAAGCAGACAGCTGAGAGAACACAAACACATGCTGAAATGAGTGCCTGCGATGAGGAGACTGGGAATCAAAAATAAATATTAGTCTTAATTTGAAATAAAATTCGCATTCGACGCCGCTGTGAATAAACCAAGTAAAATAACAGTAAAAGACTGGTGGTTTTGAATAACAATACATCGAGCTAGTCATTCAAAACATGAAGAGAATGACAAGCGGTCAAGTAACTTCATCTAGAGCACTGGAGCTGGACTGACTCTAATAGAGGATCGACATAAACTACAGACTAAACCAGACTGATTCCTGCACTGCTCAGCTCAGAGGTTTCGGTCTGTTTTGCTCCATATCACGTCTCTTCTCTCAGTCTAGTGGACAGAAAACATCCAAAGAGTTGCTTTTATTGCACTTTCTGTAGATTTCAATCTTTAAAGAGTTTTTTCTCTTACAAACAGCAAACGTTACAGTTTTATTCCTCTCTATATTCTGAAGGTTTGTTCATATTTCATTCACACTGATTTATACAACATTTTACTCCTAAAAACATGGTGAAAATGTGTTTGTTTTCTGACACACGCGCACTCACTCACTCACTCACACACTCACTCACACACACACGTCGTAGAACAGTCGTAGAAATCAGCCTCAAACTCTCTCGTGTCTGTGTGTGCGTGTGTGTGTTAGGTGAGGTCCCGTTCAATCATGAGATCCTGCGGGAGGCGAACGCTCTCTGTCACCGTCTGCCGGTTCTCAACACGCTCAAGTTCAAGACGGACTTCTATGATGTGAGTGTTCCAGTTCTGTGCTGCTCAAAGCAGACGTTAGTGAAACGGTCATTCAGACGCTTGATCTGCTGAAGCACATTCACAGTGACTGAAGTGTTTTTGGTGACATGAACAGTTGACACGAGTTCTCTCCTCCTGCAGCAATGTAATGACGTGGGTCTGATGGCGTACCTGGGATCCATCACCAAAACCTGCAACAGCATGAACCAGTTCATCAACAAGTTCAACGTGCTGTACGACAGGCAGGGCATCGGCAGACGCATGAGGGGCCTGTTCTTCTGAAGCTCCTGCTTCTGTCTCGCATCTCAATCTCATTTCTTTCTGGCCGTTAGCGCTGTTAATACAATAAACGTGATGTCTTTGTGTGAGATGCCTGTTTAACTTTACCGTCGCATGTAAAGATATCACACACAACCCTCCTGTGATTTAGGCAGGTTTATTTCTATAGTGCTTTATAATTTACTGATTCCTGTTTATTACTGTGAAATTCTATAATTTCAGCTTCATCTATAAAACAGCTCTACAGAATACAGTATCATTATTCAGTTTTCTGCTCAAGTTATTTAAGTATAGATTTTTTTTTCTGAGAACTTTATTTCAAGAGGTTGGAATAAAATCACAACTTTATTCACACAGCATCTAAACGCACAAGCATGTTGTTTTAATTTTTTTTACCCTTTTTTTTATACCTGTTGTTTTCCAGTGCAAAAGTGATTGCTTGGCCATTGGAAATAACTGGATTAGACTGCTGAAAAGAGAAATATGGAGCGCTGCGCGGCCCACTGTATTAGATTAGATGAGCGGAGAATGACACATACAGCACAGCTTCCAGCTTTAACCCTTGCAATCTCTGTAAGTCGCTCCACAGCTCTCATTCTGCCTTTAGGACATTAGCATTTTAAGACAAACTTCCTAATTAATCATTAAAACGTGTTATCTACTAAATATTTCCCAGGTGAATGTAATTCAGAAACAATGTTATTTAATAAGCTCAGGTCAGTAAGTTCAAAACAGAAGTCTTTATTTTAAGAATGAAGTTGAAAAAAGATTCTTACACGATCTGCTAATGCATGCATACTGAGAGATTTATAAAGCCATTTTAATAGATTACACCAAAACCAGGCTGTGTGTGTGTGGGTTTATGGTGTTTCTTATGCTCACGCTGCAAAACTTTAAATGCTAACAGCTGTGAAGCTCGAGCTAATGAGGCTCGAACCTGCTGCTTTTACACGAGCATCTGCTTCCTGCAGCCTCAGGCTCTCAGGATTCAGGACAGACTCACGGGGTGAAAACTACTCCATATTTTATTCAACTTTCTTAACATCAATCCTAATGAATGAATCACAATGAATGCAGAAGCTCTAGGCGCTGTCTGGCGTCTCGGCCGCGGGGTAGGCGTGTCGCAGCGGGTCGTAGAGCTCAGAGCGGTAGTTGTAGGGATAAAGGTGGGCGTAATACGGGTGTGGATGCTTCTTACTGACGGCCACCCGCAGCTCCGGCTCGTCCTCTTCCGTCACGGGCGCCGGCGACGGGGCTTTACCTTTGATGGGCCGCGGCGGGTGGGCCGTCGTCTTACGCCCTCCGTGTGTCCGATGCTGCTGTAGTATCTGTAATACGCCTGGAAATCTGGACTTTGCCTGTGCCAGCGTGGATCAACGCTGCGTCTCGGGCGAGAACTGGACAGGAATTCATTCGCCTTGTTGGAGTCGATCCTGACTGAAGCACCATCTAACACACACACACACACACACACACACACAAGCTCTGAGAGATGAACCCCAGGGGAATTTTCTTCATTTAAAGACATATAAACTAATATTAGATCTTTTTAGTGAGTACAGAGATGTTCACCTTCCTGTTGGAGGATATTCATCAGGGATTTTGCCTCGAGCTGACCTTAAGTAAAACATTTTTGCACAATTTACCTTCAAGATAAGTGACAAATTATACAAAAATATGGACACAGTTGCTTATACTGCTAAACATGAATGAGAATGGAATGAAAGCTCACGTGGCAGCAGCAGAAGGAGCGCAGACAGCAGCCTCACTGCAGACATCATGACCTCTGACCTGCAGACAGATGATGAAGCTCAACATACCCAGTGGAACAAGGAGCACAGTGGTGAAAAGCTCATTCAGCTGTAGGCTAAAACTCTCTCTAAATGTTACTGGAGCAGAGTAAGCATTAAGAGTGACAGAGTTTCCACTCACCTGTCCCGTGATGCGTCTGTCCCGTCGCTGAGCGCAGACAGCTGCTCTTATACGAGCGCTCCGCCGGTCTTCTGTCAATCACTCGAGCTCAGCCCCACTATTGGTCAGATCCGTGGAAAGCCACGCCCACTGCTGCTGGAGCGGCGCGCGCACCACAGGAGCGTCAAACCGCGAGCTGCTGCAGTGTGCGTTTCTCACATAAACTGAACAGAAACATCGATAATTTCACATTTAAAACGCTCAGACAGACGGCTTTCATTAGTCCGGTCGCGTGTGAGCGGCTGTCGCCGGATTATTGTCGGTTTAGTTAAAAACAGCTGTTTTCCGCCCATCTGAAACTTTAAAAGCTGCTAATAAAACTGTTCTGCAGACACGACACATTCCTGAAGCTTCCAGCCTCTTTTATCGCTTTTATTTCATCCTGAGGAAGACACGTCTTCACCTGCTCACACACACTTCTGAAGCGAAACTCCTGGATCTGTTCTCGTTAGGGTTATTAGGGCGTGCAGAAGAAAAAATAAGAAAAATGCTGAAGAAATGGGCTAATGCTGTAGGCGGCCTATTTCGTATGGTTTCATATGCCAAGTCCAAGTGTTCATTAAAAAGACTGGTAGAGGGACAATTGCTCAGCCCATTATTTTGTCTTGTATTAAGAAAGTAAAAAACAACAACAACGCTGAGAGCCGTCTTAGAAACACTGACCTTAATGCGAGCAGTGAAGAAACCAGCGGCGGGCCGTGCATCTTACACCTAGGCCTTCAGTGAATTAATCCATCTCTTCATACCATCATAATGATGCCACGGCTATAGAAACCATACATATTACACAGTAATGCAGTATAACAGGGCACTACATAACATAACATAACATATCTTATGTAGCGAGAATGAATGCCAAAGAAACCCAATTAACATCCTCTGTAGCTGAAGCATTAGCCTAACGAAATGACACAAATACAGTCCATCCGATGTTCTTACAGACATTTATTCACCCAAACGCATTTATACCTTACAGATAGCATTGGTATAAAACAGATAAGGTGATTACATGTGTTTTAAAGTTGACCTAACAATTTCATGTTCTCTTACTGCTTTATTTGGTCTTCACGAGTCTTCACAGCGCACTGCGGGAGGAAAATACTGCTTAGCACAGCTTTACTAGGAAAGTGAGCAAGTAACATTAAAATAATTCACACAAGACGATGAAGAAAAGTGTATAGATGTGTTTTACCGCACCTCTGTGACTCTCATCTCCCCGCTGGTCTGCCTCGGAGGAAAACACCGGTTAATACAGCTCCACTCGGGAAACTGAGATATTCTTACAGAAACTTAAACCTGGCTTTATATCGCGCAAATAACATCAGCATACAACGCATCAAGCGATAAAAGAGTCAGAAATAAAAATTAACCTACCATACTCTAGTGCAGTGGTCGCCAACCCGTGGATCGCGATCGACTGGTAGATCTTTATCACTGTCCCAGTAGATCCCGAAAATAACAGTAAAATAAGTACAAAAATGCATTACATTTCTGGGGCTATATTAATGTATCACTGAAGGGAACTGTCTTGAGAAAAGTTTCGATGGCAATGGCATTTTCTTCTCCATATAAAGCGCAACTCTGCTTTGTTTACAGCG